TTTAATCAGCTGTGCTGCACTGTTACATGGCACTTACAATGGCTCTGCTTTACTTCCGTAGCGTTAGACAGGATCACAAGGGGATGGCAATGGAAATCAGGTCTTTAGCTCTTTTACCTGTGGCTCACTTGAGTTGATTAGGAATGATCTGTGCCTTATAGGCTGAGAAGAACCGTGTAACTTGTGACTGGCATAAAATGATGGATGGCCCAGCATTTATTGCTTAATCAGAATTTCATCCTGGAAAATCGGGGGAAGTGATAGAAATTAATGCTAACGAATGGCAGGTTGCAGGAGATGTCAAAGTGGAAAACTGATGGGGGAAATTTCAAAAGACAAGTTGGCCGATTGTTAGTGAGCGCAGAAGTTCATAAAAATCCTGTGCAAACAAATTTTGATCGTGCTGTAGAGAAGAGAACAAGGGGGAAAAGCAAGGACTGCAAAGACGAGTAAGTGCTAATCTGAGCACAACTGAAAATCAGGGGAAAACAGTAAAATAAGCTCAGAGGGCTGTAGTATTTCAGCTACCAGGTGGAAGTAAAAGAAATGAGTAGCAAGATGAAAACAAAGCTGGTGCATTGCATGACAGAGCTCCAACTGGGACATCCAACTAGTATGAATAATGTTACATGGTATTATTTGTAGGAGAAATAGCAATGTTTTCACAGTGCCAATGAGAAGCTTGTGGCTGCACATGTGTTTGAAATGGATATTGTTTGTGTAGTACTGTCTACTCGAAACACTCAAAACTTTCAAGTTAGGCTTAGAAACTGTGAAACTGGCTTGAAAATTAATGAGTTTATAAAAACACTCCATATATTCTGAATGTCTGCCTTCTAATTTTCAACCTTCATGCAACTTTCAGTTGCAGCTTTGTTTTCTGCAGTAACTGAACTAGAGCTTCATTTTCTGAAAAAAAAACCCAAACAAACAAAACCAAAACCCAAACCACCAAGATTCTCATCATCCGCAGAAAAAAATCCAAACCACTAATTATTGCAAGATCTGCAGTGAAATCACGCGATCAGCAAAAGCCAGCTGCAAACCAAGTAACAACGAGTCATTGAACACAGGAGAGCATAAATACTGATGGCAGTGAAAAGGTGAAATCAGAAGATGGGAAAGGACTGGAAGGAATTAATCTAGTGGTGGCTGGTTCAGATAAGCCCAGATCAGCAGCTTTGAGGCACCTTCTTAAGTAGGGTCCTTTCTGCCCAACTCAGAAGGGTAGATTGGCCTGGGGGGAAGAAAACCAGTAGAGCACATTTTGTTGAGCATCTTTCAAGATGGGCTGATTTCAGAGGGAAATGCATATATAGCTACTACTGATGGGGTGAATCCAGCAAGAGCCAGGCACATGCACACGCAACAGCGTGAGGGCAGGCAGGGCAGCGGCTGATGCCCCTGGTGCCAGTGAGGCACCGAAGGTAGAGAGAGCCCACCCTAATCCAGTCCTGCTCATGCCACCCCTGAACACAGAGAGGGTTGCCAGGGCGAACACCAGCAAACCCAGGCACAGCCTCCGACCAGCACCAGCCAGGAAAAACCAGCCACAGCCCTGTGTTAAGCCAAGCCTGGCATAGTCAGCAATGTCAGCTGTGGCTGCAGGAACCAAGGCATATGCTTTTGTTAATAATGTGGAAACTTCTTTATGGGTTAAACTGGGAAGGCTAATTCTACTCCCTACTATAGCCCTAGCTTACTTCTGTTGTGTGAGGGTAGAAGCTGCTCCAGCTGTCACACTGGAGGTCTGCAACAGAGCTGGAGATTGGACTTCAAATGCTGGACTTCCCGCAGCCTTGTCATTTACCCCTGCTTCTTTGGGAATACAATGAACCCTGTGAAATTCAGCATTCAGGGTCTTCCCTATGCCCAAGAGGGTTAGAAGAGGCTCTCTTTAGCCTAAAATATCTCTGAAGAAAATCGCTGCTCTCTTTCCAGATGGGATGATGATGACCCAGTAAAATTAGGAACAGTTGATTGTAAAGGAGGAATTCAGCAGAGAAATGTCAAAACTGAACAAAAAGACAGGATGTGAAGAATTAACCATCCTTTCCCCAAACTATAACATTAGACCTGAGTCTCGAACATTAAGTCTCGAACATTTTTACATAAGTAAAAAACATCTCACATGATTCAATCACATGTATTCTTAACTCCTAGTCTCAGTGTGCTCCTTGCTATGGTTTATGGCATCAGTGGGATTTGATGCTGCCTAACACTGGGATTTCAGCCCCTTGCAGGAGTTAATCCATAAATGAAGAACTCTCCATGTTCTATTTCTAAAAGGATTTTTATCTGACCCATCGTGATTAAACTGCCTCTTGCCTGGACAAATTGTTCTTCCCCCGTGTGTTTGTTATAATGCTGGTGTATGCTTGTTGGGCACAAGATGAGTTAAATGGACATGACCAGACTCAAGCAAGTCTTTTTCAGGCTCTGACAAGGTGTGTATTTATGTGAAAAACAGTGTAAATGAAGAAAAAAAAATCCTACTCTCCAGAAATAGCTAAATGTTGCATATTGTCAGCAAAATTTTATGTTTTGGGAATTCTGTCCCCAGCATGTTTGCTTCTTTTCAACTACATTAAATTAGTCAATAAAACACAGCAAAATAAACTGAAGTGTTACCCTGTCCTAATAGTCACCCAAGTCTTATAAGACAATGGGATGAGGCCATAATTATGTGATTAATGATATTATCATTAATTAAAAACTGGGGCTGGAGAAAACATTAGCTAGGTAAATCAAAGAACACGGTTGAATTCTGTAGTTGTGTTTGTGTTCTGTAGTTGTAGTTTGCAGGAAGTCCCATTAAGTTCCCTCTGGCCCTGCTGCCCTGGCCTGAGTCCCTGGCTCAGTTTTTACCACTGAACTCATGGGGCCAAAATTGTCACCCCGATGCATCTGTTAATTTAGCCTAGGAAAACAGCTCTGCCTGTTGGGTGTCATTTGACTGCCTGCTCCTACAGCACAGTGGTGGGTGCTCGGGGGACTCCGTCTCCCAGCCAGCCAATGCATAAAGCCAGCGGTGCCTCCGGCCTGCCCAGAGACAGAGTGCATCGGGAGCCGTACGACGACAAACCTGAACTCTGTCAAAGGACTAGCGCTGCTCTCCAAGCGTGACTGAGGACTGACACGTACACTTGCTGTGATCTGATCCGTGTCAAAATAAAACTTTATGATAATGGCTGTTTTCCGACAGCCCTGCTTTCCACTCTGCCCCCATCTTGTTCCTCCTTGCCACTGGAATTTCGAGTGCCTACGCCCACAAAATTCAATCTACAACTGCCTGTGGATACACAGAGGGTTAAAATCCCAACAGAAATCAGGTGCTAGAAAAGCAAATACTCTTTAAAAGAATATTCTAATGCTTCCCCCCTGCCCAACCCTCCACACAATTAAAGCATGACTGGTATCTCCAGTGATTCCAGAACAAGAGCCACTCTGAGCCACAGAGTCACAGTTCCAATACCTGAAATGTATGGAGACAACCAAAAGCTAGCGTGGAGGAATGGTGAGCTATTGCAAAGCTAATCCTGCTCTCGCCCCAGAGGGGTCAGACCCAGCCACCTTCTTCGCTGCTGATCTGCAGGAATCAACAAGCAAGTCAGGACACAGCTTGCACACTGACAGGAACCGTGAGCATTGCGACTGCAGCTCCAGGGTAATTAGTACTTGCCTCAGCTCTGCCTAATGAGGGGTGGTATTTGTCATCCCCATCCTGAAGGCTCCCTGCCTCTTACAGGTGGATCTGCCACACGAACGCAGGCAGTCTGTGCCTAGATTAATGTAACTCAATCCTGCGCAGGGCTTTCCATCAACAGATTTCAACTGCACTGCAAATGCGGACACGTTGTTGCCCTCTGTTTGCATGCAGGGGAGCACAAACACCTGTCACTTAATTTGCAAAGGATTATCATGCAGGAAGCAGAGCCTGCATTTCCCAACTCCGGAGCTGGGCAAAGCCTGCTCAAAAGTTTTCCTGGGGACTCTGGTTAGTTGAGTGGTAGCTACATGACTAAGTCCTATTTTTCTGAAAAATATTATCTGGAAAATGACATTGTTTATTCTAGAACCTGGAAATGTTCATTTTAAGGCCTCCTGATTAATTTCAAATACCTGTTTATTAATGAAAAGCTGAAAAACTTGGCTTTGATTGAGGTAAGAACTAAAAAGGTTTGGTTTAATGATGTTTTCTGGGGAACAAAACCCTTCCTTTTCTAGTCATTCCTAGCCATAAAACTTCAGTGAGATGATTTTGAAAAGCCAGAATTTGTCCTGTTGCGACTGGAGACTCTGAGCAAGGAAGGTCAGAACAGAAAGAAGGAGCCACAACTGCTTATGAATGCAGGGCATACAGGATTACAGCCTTTCAGAAAGCACAAGAAGCTCCTGGGGAATCCAAAGCCATCGAGTTCTGAACACAGAAAAGAAACAACATTTATTTTAATTTTTTTTTCTACACAATTCGTCATTAAAATGTTATCCATGTTTCTAAGGCCAAAATACAGTGACCTGGTCCAGTTTCTTGGGAGGGAAAAAAAAAAAAGGAGTAAGTGATTTATGAAAAAACATTTCACTCTCTTTCCTTCTGTGGTTTTTTTTTTTTTTGTTGTTGTTAAAATCAGACCATGTGTAAAATCAGCAAAATCTGAAAATGGATTATTTGCTGCAACTAAGAACATCTTCTAGTAGAATAAAAACATCTGCCAGTTAGAGACTGGTCCAAGCCTTCGTTGGCTGTGGCACTGACTGCTGTGTGATCCTGGACATGTCTCTTCATACAACTCTGTGCCTTTTTCCATCCTCCTATTTAGCCATGATTTCTATTCAAATCACAAGGTCTTGCAGCAAGACCCGTTTTCATCCTATATCCTAGCTCTCAGGGGTCTGGATCACAGTTAGCTCTAATGTAACACTCACAAATAACCACCTAGGACTGCCTCTCCAGGAGAGCCTCCTTGTGCTATCTTTGGCAAGTTGCTGCTTTTTCAGGCATGCTGCAAAATGGCAGCTCTGTCTGCATTTGCTGTCAGGTCTCCTATGAGGCTGTTGGCAATCTGACAGCGTTTCCCGGGTCCCCCAGTGAGCTGGAAATGAATACAGATTCACAGCATTTGCCCTTGCCTGTGAGCCAGCGCCTGGATATTAGACAGAAAGGTGAGCAGAAAGTTTGATGGAACTGAGTGACGGGGTTTGTGCCTAAACCCTTCAAAGCCAACATGGGCTAGTCTTCCACTCAGGGAAATTACTGCTTCCTCCCTGTCTCCAGAGCCTCCCTCTTCCCTAGACAAGTGTCTCAGGGACTTTGAGAACCAAAGATGACTGAGGCTGGATTGCTATACAAAATGCCTGTGCTCCTTCTTAATCTGTTGCAGGGTCTTTTGCCAAGCTTCACTGATTTCCAGATGCTTCTCGACTCTTTACAGTCAGCCTCGACTCTATTTGCATTGCATACTGAGAACTCCTCGATGACGATCTGCTTTGCTTTTTGCTGTAAATCCCCCACGCTCTACAACAGACGATGCCCGGTGTACAACAAAACTATGTCACCTATCCCTCCAGGCTCTCGCTGGGAGACACAAGAACACCCCACCCAGGGAGCATTTCATCATCTCCCAGATCCTGTCAGAGCAAATTCCAAATATCTGGGGAACCACAATGAATTAACATGCAAATCGAATCCTAAGCCAAGATTCATGTCACTGTCATCTTTATGTATTAGACTGTAGATCATGAAGGGAATTATGCTCCAGCTGGCTAATTAAGTAAACATGAAGAAAATGAGGGTAGCAGACAAGGGTTAGGGTCTGGGAGCCTGGGTTCAAGGACTGGCTGAGGCAGAAAACTCTTGTGTGATGATGGGCAAGTTGTTAGGGGCAGTTTTGAAATCCACAGATGACAATAGGAGGCCATTAATGGGGCCTTGAGATGGACTCTTCTCCTTGTCAAAGTACAACACAGATTTTAACCTCCTCTATCACACAGAGCAGTAAGCTAAAACAAGGGGGACTGTGAGATGAGCCAAGTTAAACAAAAGGCTTGAGAACAAACCTTCTCCCTGCCCCCTGTGTACAGGCTGGGGTCTTCCAGAAGGTCTTTCCCAGCACTTGAGTCGGCCCAAACCTCAGTGCATTCCAGCAGCTACAGCCGGCTTTGCAGCACACGTCAGCCTCATCCGGGGAAACCGTAGCCAAAAGATGGGGAAACTAGCCAGATTCCCTGTTTTAAAAACAAAGGTGCCATTTCTTACATAGGCTTTTTGATGGTTCCACTCTGATCTCAGAAGAAAGCCATCCCCATTTTAACTGTCCTAGCGCGCTCTAGTGGGAGCCCGCTCCCTGCACAGCGCGGCGGCATCCCTGCAGGGCTGCTCTCCCAGCAGCAGTCTTCGCACCCAAGGACCCACAGTTACCCCGTACAGGTGTCCAACCAGCTGGGGCAAAGGGAGACGACTATAAAACCAGCTCCACTGGGAACGGTTCAGTGATTTCAGTGGTCGAATTAGAGAAAAGGTACACCAGCCTGGCATTATTTCAGGATAATGTCGTTTCCTCACCACTACACCAAAAAAATACCCAAACCCCAAAATATTTTCCCCCCTTTTTAATGGGAATTCTTCCTTGCACGTGAATAGCTCAAGGAGGCATGTAAAGAAACTCAAAGCGGATGAGTTTTTTTTACTGCAAAACTCATATTTGCAATTACTAACAGACCTGTTCAGTCACACTCTTCAAGCATCATCTTCCTCCCATACTTGCACCCTGTATGTCAGTAACATACCACCACCACTGCCTCCATCTTGCTCAGCTGAGGCTGCTCTGAGGGCACCCTTCTGTAAAACACCGCTTTGCCCCTTTGCTTACACATCACAGGCTGCTTCCTCACCCACCACGACGGGGCTTCATGCTCTGAGATTCACTGTCTCACTGCACGGTGGTTCCAGACAATAGAGTAGGCACCAATTCGCCAACAGGAAAAACTATTTCTTACCTTTTTATTATTATTATTCTTTCTATACTTGGATAGGAACAAGCCTCTGTGAGGAAAGGAATGGGAACATTCAGAAAATAAATTGTTGTTCGGTTTATGCACCTTTGGGCCTCATTCATAATCCAGAGCATTACAAGAATAACTCAGGTTGAAATCTGCAATATTTATTCTATTACAAGGGAATTGTTTCTTCGGCAGGAAAAGCATCAGACGGTGATACCAAAGGCTTGGGAAAACTGACCAGTTATGTTGGTGCTTGAACAGGGGATGTAACCTTCAAACCCCAGGTCAAATTGTACACACAAAGCTCTTTGGTGTCTCTGAACCTTAGCTAATAGGCTAGTCATCATCTCTGCAGCTACATGGGACCCTGATTACAGATTTACAAGGACGGCTGACAGACAGCATGCCAGCCCCACGTATGTGATTTAAATGGGACCTCCAAGGAACACAGTAAAGCAAAAGCTGCTCCAAGCTGATAAGGGTTGAAAAAGAAACTCAAAATGTATCAGAGCTCTTGAGTCTCTCAGTTACTGTGGAGTACTCCCAGCTAGCCTGTTCATCAGCTCAGCTGCTGGAGTTACCCCAGAGACTTGGTAAGTGATCGCAAGTGGCACGACCAGTACGATGCAGCTTTCGAACAAGGTTCAACAGAGCAATACTTAACAGCTCTTTTTCTCCTGGAATACACCAAAAAGACTTCACCCTGCAGTTCTCATGAACCCTTACAGCAAAAGGCAGATAAAACAAAAGACTGGATATAGCACTATCCATTGAGAAATAGCCTGTATTAAATTCCACTCCCATCTCTACTGTTGTGTAACATTTGAGACAGGGCATTTGAAGCCTGCTTGAGCATGCACCTTCACAAGTACTCAACTTTGTGGTAAGTAATCCCATAATACTGAGCACAGGGGTATATACAACTGCTTGCAAAACTGTGATCTCTCTGGGAGACTGGAGAAATTGAGGCCCAGTGTCTGGCAAACAGCATCCTGAAGGAAGATACCAGATACCAGAACAGCGCAGATGATAGCAGTGCCCCTTGTGAATGTACCATCTTCGTCACTTATACTTCCTCGCTTCCCATTTAAATAACTGTCAGTGAAGAAAACAGGAGTTTGGGTAGGACAGAGATGTATTTGTCTTACATCACGCTAAATACCACCATGCTGAGACATCGCAACTTTTGCTTGAAGGCAGCTCAGAAAGAGCATAAAAGAGGCAAGGGATTGTTTGCATGTGAATATGGCGTGGGGAGGTATATAAATGAAAGCAGGGCCTGGTCAAGGAAAATAAACTTGATATGATGAAGAATTTCAAAGTTGAAGATTGTTTTTATACAAGCAGAGATGCCCACAATATCATGCTTTTCCAAAGCAGCCTCATGGCAACGAGACACATTTACTGGGGCAGAGCAGATACCAGACAAGACCACTGCTGTAACACTCACCACCAATGACACTTCATTTCTTAAGCCAGGGTTGCCTCAGAACAGACCAACCAGGGACTTGCACTTTGGTCTCCTACATTTTGGCTGGGTCTTCCTTGGTCCACTGCCCGGCCCAGCCCACCCCTCTGTTAGCCCCCAGGCAGCTGCAGTATTAGCTGGAAAATCCTAGCTTGTTTGCTTCCTACCCTAACAAATTACTACACGGCCAAATTAACCTGTTCTCTCTACACTCCTCTTGGTGTGCTACATGGAAAAAAAAACAATAGAGAACAGACTTACAATAGGGACTCAGAGCCAAGCTAAAAAGCATTGCTATTACCCCCTACAGTCTCAAGAGAAGGGAATCTAGGGTATTGTCCTGACAACAGCAAAAC